ATGTTTAAAAATTTCAGCTGGGCGCAGTAGCTCACTCCTGTAATCCCAGCACTTTGGGAGGCCAAGGTGGGCAGATCACAAGGTCAGGAGTTTAAGACCAGCCTGACCAACATGGTGAAACCCTGTCTTTACTAAAACTACAAAAATTAGCCGGGCATGGTGGCACCTGCCTGTAATCCCAGCTACTCAGGAGGCTGAGGCAGAAAAATTGTTTGAACCCGGGAGACGGAAGTTGCAGTGAGCTGAGATCACGCCACTGCACTCCAGCTCGGGTGACAGAGCGAGACTACATCCCCAAAAAATACAATTTTTCAGCTTTGTTTCCGTTCTTTTTCTCCTCTTTTCTCTGGGGCAGAACTTTTCTCCTTCCCCCCTACAGAACAATTAAGCAGGACAATGCTCTTCTCCTGGGATTTCCTTCCCCATCAGGTTATAAATAACGATGCCACAATAATCAGGAACCTATACAAAATCAATGACTAGGTCGTTTAACATGAACAAGCCGTGTTCTGTTTCCATGGCAACATGGAGTCCAAGGCAAAGTGACACATGGTGAGACTCCCATTCTATCTCCACCACCTTCAACTCTGAAAGGGCCACCCCTGGGGCAGGCCAGGTGCCTCCCCACCATGGCTTGGGTGGCTGAGATCTGGGCCCAAGCTCCAGAGGCGGAAGGCTGGTGACCGAACGCCACTCGGAGCCTGTGAGAGGGCAAGCCAGGAGACAGATAGGCCAACTCTCTCACTAATCATGGGACCACCTTCAATATTTGTCACTGTGAAATCCAGGCAGTGTTGATGATGATCTCAAGCCCAGGCAGGTCATTAACCTGCTCCTCTGCATCACCCAGTTTGGGACTTTCTCTGCTGTCTCAGCTCCGTGTCTTTTTTTCTTTTTTCTTTCCATCTCAGAAGAGAGAATGGAGGAAGAACTAATCAGACGTAAAAAACCACGGCGCTGGCTGCTTACCAAGTTCTTTTCATGGGCAGAGGCTTTGTCAGGTTCAAACCCGTTAGAGGTGTCTGCCTTCCCAGATGAATGGCAGGCCAAGCACTTCCACCTGCTTCCAGCTCTGCCAGTCCTTTTCCTGGGCTGTGAACACCCAGAAACTGAGAGATAAAGAGTGAAAAGAAGATGCTGGCACTGTCTGACTAGCAAGGCCATTCCCCAAGGGTCCAATCAGCTCCACGGAGACTGCACAGACACAGTCTGTGAAAACACAGAGGTGTTGGAGTTTCATGATATCCTATTCTTAGAAATAAGGGAGCTGTCCTAAATGTTCCCTGCTTTACTTACAAACCCATGAAGGATTTAGCATCTTGACTTCACTTATTTGTACATTCACCTTCAAAGTTATTTTAAGTGTTTTTACTTGGAAGGGAATTCCAAATCTACTTGAGTTTATTTAAACTTTATTAACACCCATTTCTGTTAATAACCTCCAGTAATGGAGAGGAGCATCATATATGTATCGGCTCTTATTTATTAGGGGCCAAGGAATCCACTGGGTTTTGTGTGCGTTTCATTTTATTTGTTTTGTTCTTCTTGAGATGGAGTCTCACTCTGTCGCCCAGCCTAGAGTGCAGGGGCATCATCTCAGCTCACTGCAAACTCTGCCGCCCAGCTTCATGTGATTTTCCAGCCTCAGCCTCCCGAGTTGCTGGGACTACAGGTTCACACCACCATGGCAGCTTAAATTTTATATTTTTAGTAGAGACAGTGTTCAACCACATTGGACAAGCTGTTGTTGAACTCCTGAGCTCAGGTGATCTGCCTTCCTTGGTCTCCCAAGGTGCTGGGATTACAGACAGGAGCCACCACGCCCAGCCCTTCCTATGTGTATCATTTAATTTAATGCTGACAACAACACATGAGGTTGATACCGTCATTATTTTCCATGTGCAGATGAGGAAACTGAGTCATAGACAGGCTGCGGTGCAGTGCCCGTGATCTCAACTGCTAGCGCTGGAGAGCTTGGAATAAAAACTGGAAGGAGATGAATTCCAGAGCTCTTAGCTATGACTTACCTGCTTCAAAACTAGCCCTTTCTTTTATTTGTCCTAAAATAACTTCTTTCAAGCTTCCAGTGGAATGCTTGCTCTACTGTCTAGTGAGCATGTCTGCTTCTCCCTTGCTGACTTTAGGCAGGGATTCATTCTGCCTTTCTCTGTGAGTCCAAGCATTTTAGGTTTTACATACACACTGTTCCTTCTTTGCCTAAATGCTTCCTTGTTGCTGAGAAGTGCCATCTGGGGTTCAAAAGAAATGGAACGGATGATAGACCTCTTCTCAAAATCATTTCCCCAGTCGTCGCTCTTCCTTTGGAGCGGTGGCTCAGGGAATGATAAAATGAAAGGAGATTGCCAAAGGGAAATGTCTGGTCTTGCTCATTCATGGAAAGCACATTTTGGGAGGATCTGCCCCTGTGACACAGATATGTCATTAGGACACAGCTCAAGTCAAAACTGGAACCCTATTTCACAGCAGACTTCTCATGCACATTTGGGGCCTTTTCAATGGCAGAACCGGGACGAGTCATCTCGAGGACCACTAATTTTAAAAGTAAATTACAAACCCTCCACAGAACACAAATTACCTAAAAGAGGGGCATAATTTCACTTTTTGAAAAGCAAGCAGGGGCAGGCAGAGGAGAAAAAAAATGACTTCTCAAATAATATGCAGGCAGGGCACAGTGGCTCAAATATGCAATCCCAGCACTTTGAGAGATGGAGGAGGAAGAACCGTTTCAGCCTAGAAGTTTGAGATCAGCTGGGCAACACAGTGAGACCCCCTATCTTTACAAAAGAAATGAGTGGGGCATGCTGGCCTGCACCTGTGATCCCAGCTATTTGGGAGGCTGAGGAGAAAGGACTGCTTGAGCCTGGGAGGTTGAGGCTGCAGTGAGCTACGTCATGAGTCACTGCACTCTAGCCTGGGCAACAGACTGAGACTGTGCCCCAAGAAAAGAAAAGGGAAAGATTACAGAACTCACAGACTGCCCCATGCCCTTGATTACATAATACGTGAATACTTTTTATTTCTTAGAAAAAATGTACACAGGATTCAAGTTCCATTTGATCACTGCCCTTAAACCCCCTTACCCCCATAACCTGGAAATCCTAGTATGCTGAGTATTCTTCCAGATCCTTACTGTAAGCATGATTGCATTTTAGGATTTTATTAACTTTCGTAAGAGATGACATCTCACTATACCTAGACTGACCTTGAACTCTGGGGTGCAAGAGGCCTTCCCATCTCAGCCTCCCAAGTAGATGGGACTACAGGTGTGAGCCACCGCAACTGGCTATGATTTGAAATCAATCACTTCTTTTCTTCATTGAATAATAACATGATGCTCATTTTAATTAGTTAATACTAAAATCCTAAACCCTGAGGACTTAAACTCATGTCAAGATGCTTTTTTCACCTACAGACCACTCAATGATAGGTAGGTGGATGGATGAATGAATAGGTAGATGGATGAATGAACATAGATGCATGGGTAGATGGGCGGTAATAGCATCTTTTTAAGGAACCGAACCAGTTTTCTTGCAAAATGAAGACAACAAAAGGGTTATATTTTAAAACTTCTATTTTAGGTTCAGTGATATACGTGTAGGTTTGTGATACAGGTAAATTGCATGTCACAGGGGTTTGGTGTACTGATCATTATGTCACCCAGGTAATCAACAAAGTACCTGATAGGCAGTTTTTGGATCCATACTTTCCTCCCACCCTCGGAATTAGAAAACACTATTCTAAAATTCACCTGGAACCAAAACAAAGAGCCTGAATAGCCAAGGCAATCATAAGCAAATAGAACTTCCTAGGCATCACATTACCCAACTTCAAACTATATTACAAGGCTACAGTAACTGAAACAGCATGGCACTACTGTTACAAAGACAGACACACAGACCAATGGAACACAACAGAGAGCACAGAAATAATGCCATACACTAACAGCCATCTGATCTTCAACAAACAAAAATAAGCAATGGGGAAACGATTCCCTATTCAATAAATGGTGCTGGGATAACGGCACCAAAAATGACTAGCCATATGCAGAAGATTGAAACTGGACCCCTTCCTCACACCATGTACAAAAATAAACTCATAATGGTAATTTGTACTACGCTGAAGTTATAGGATGTTGAATCTGAGGCATGTGAAAGTGTCCATTACACAAGAGTTAACAATTTAAATTTATTAGACCTTTCCTTCCTTTAGGCTGGACGTGCAGCAGGCTAGGGAAAACAAGAAGGTACGAGATACACAGTCAAGAGTTCACCTGTCAGGGCTTCATCCCACCCTCACTCCCTGTGTTTCCCAGGCTGCTCTCTTTCAGTTTCACCATCGTCAAGGTGGAGATATGTCCAATACCTATTTCAGAGGGCTTCTTACACTTACTTACTTAATGCAAGTGAAGCATTTAGAGACTGGCTGCCACATGGATAGTACTCAATAAATAAATCTTAGCTGTTATTATTCTCACGGTAAGCAATTATTAGCTCCTTAACACCAAGCCCATGTACCACTCGGGACTTTAGGCTGAAGAACATAGAAAGCAGAATGCAGAACTCCAGAAGGATTGCTAAGTACTCTTAGGTATGTCTTCAAGGACGACGTATGCAGAGGTGGATATGTGCATAGGTAGGTTGATGAATTAATGAGTTCATGAACAGACACATAGATGCATGGGTAGATGGATGGATAGATGCGTGGGTAGATGAATGAATAGGGACCAGTAGCAGAGGCAAAAGAAAAAGCCATTAAAATACTAGAGCACCATCTATTTGACAATTTTTTTATTTTGTTTTGTTTTTCTGAGATGGAGTCTCACTATGTCGCCCTGGCTGGAGTTCAGTGGCACATTCTTGGCTCTCTGTAACCTCCAAATCCCAGGTTCAAGCAATTCTCCCTGCCTCTGCCTCCCAAGTGGCTGGGATTCCTGGTATGTGACACCACACTCAGCTAATTTTTGCATTTTTAGTAGAGATGGGGTTTCACCATGTTGGCCAGGCTGGTCTCAAACTCGTGACCTCAGGTGATCCACCCGCCTCGGCCTTCCAAAGTGCTGGGATTTCAGGCATGAGCCACTGTGCCTGGCCTCAACAAATAATGTTTTGAATAGCTACCACGTACTCAGTTGAGGAGTGAAAGGATAAAGTGGCAATAAAATAGATATAGACCCTTCACCCTATAAAAGAGTGAAAAATCTTGTAAAGAAATTAAAGTCTGGTGACCTCCATAAAGAGAAATAAGAGCGTGTTGAGAGAGTATGACAGTGTGCCACATTTACATAGGGAAGGGGTCCAGAGAAATCGTCTTCAGATGAAAGAGCATTTAAAGACTTTGTGGACCAGGACCAGGAAAAAGGAGTTTGGGAGTAGCTATCATGGATGTAAGAAAATAGAATTATGGTGACTAAGGCTGGGAAGGGCATGGGGGTGGAGGGGGAAATGAAGAGAGACTGGTTAATGGGGGAAAACCTATAGTTAGATAGAAGCCCTGAGTTCTAAGTTCTAAGCTCTAATGTTCCACAGCACAGTAGGATGACAATAGTTAACAACTGTGTGTGTGTGTGTGTGTGTGTGTGTATTTTTTTTTCGAGACGGACTTTCACTCTTGTTGCCCAGGCTGGAGTGCAATAGCGAGATCCCGGCTCACCGTAACCTCCGCCTCCAAGGTTCAAGCTATTCTCCTGCCTCAGTCTCCCGAGTAGCTAGGATTACAGGCATGTGCCACCACAGAAGACTAATCTCTGTATTTTTAGTAGAGACGGCGTTTCACCATGTTGGTCAGCCTGGTCTCTGGTCTCAAACTCCCAACCTCAGGAGATCCAGCCACCTCGGCCTCCCAAAGTGTTGGGATTACAGGCGTGAGCCACCATGCCTGGACTTACACATTTTAAAACAGCTAAAAGAGAATATTTTAAAAGTTCCAAACATAAAGAAATGAGCAATGTTCAAAATGATGGATATCTTAAATACCCTGACTTGATCACTCCACGTGCATAGGATGTACCAAAATATCAAATGCTCTTCATACATAAGGACAAATATTATGCATCAATACTGTTTTTAAATTTGGCTTTTATTCTTGGAGAAGCAGGATGATGAGGGGAGCACATGTGCACCCCCTCTCTTTCCCTCTGCTCTCACCCCTCCCTGCACCACAGACAACATTTGCAGAGCTTAAGGGACCCAACCTTAAGAAAAGAGAGAAAAAGGATTGAGTCATTCAGCGGATTTGTTTACTGCACTAAGGGGCCCTGGAGCTAATTAGAGATGTCAGGTTGTCAAAAGAACAGTAAACCCTGCTTTCAGAGGTGTGTTCAGAATCTGAAGAATAACGATCAATATAGTAACCTAATGCATTAGACTTGTGAAACAAAACTCACTGATTTATGAAGTCATCAGAATGTTAGATTTTTCCACTGCCTTTGATCATTAATTGGGGGCCAAGGTTTACCTTTTAGCACCTGCTGACTTTGGAGCCAAAAACATCATGGTTCAAATCTTGGTTTCAGCTTTCTACAGCTGTTACATTAACCTAAAAGCCTGCTGGTTCATTCAGAAAAGTGGAAATGATGATGTATTATCTGCAGAATAGCAGCCTCTCAAAGATGTGCTCATCATGATCCCTGGAACCTGTGAATATATTTTACCTTACAGGGCAACAGGGAATTAAGGGCATAGGTAGAATTAAAGTGACTAATCATCTGACCTCAAAATAGGGAGATTATTCTGGATTATCCATGTGCACCCAATGTAGTCACAGGTCTCCTTAAAACGTGGAAGAGGGAGGCAGAAGAATGGAGCCATGTGATGTGAAAAAGGACTCAACCCACCAATGCTGGCTTTGAAGACAGAGGAAGGGGCCACAAGCCAAGGGATGCAGGTGGGCTCTAGAGGCTGAAAAAGGCAAGGAAAGGGACTGCACCCAAGGCCACCAGAAGGATTAGTTTCCTATTGCTTCGTACCCTGTAATTTTAGCCCAGTGAGACACACTTAGGACTTCTGACCTCCCAAACTGTAAGATACTAAATCTGTATTCTTTCACGCCACTCAGATTGTGGTCATTTATTACATCAGCCATGAGAAACCAATATACAGTAACTGCTCCTGTGTGTTGTTAAGAGGATTCAACAAAGTGATTTATGCAAAGTGGGTAGCGTCTTAAGAAACACTCAGCGGTCATTCTCATTAATTTCTGTAAACACCCAAGTCTAATATTGGCAGATTTTTCACCTACCTTTCCAGTGACTTGCCTGTTTCTGCCTCTACAGCCCCAAGGGCCCCACCAGCTAAGAACATACATCTGACCCAGGCCTCAGGTAACCACCAACTAAATCGTTAGCCGATAACGCGCAAGACCTGCCCCCAGCAATATTTGTATTCAAAAGGCAAATCCATTGTGTCACTCTGTGTAAAGTCTATGTTGTTCAAAGTCTCCCACAGGTTTCTGTCTAAGATTTCCAATGCCTTTCAGCACCCAGTCCCCACCAGTTTCTACAGCCTCAGATTCTTCTCCTTCCTCATAGGCCCTCTGCGTAGATGCGGACCATCCTAAATGATGGGATGTTTCTTTAGTGCATCTGAATCTCTTACGCCTCTGGGCCTTTGCATTTGCTGTATCCTCCGCCCATAACTGATGTCCCCTAATGTGTGTTCATCTATCCAAGCCCCATTCATTGCAAAAGACTCAGCTGAATCATCACAAGGAGCTCTTCCCCCAATATCCTGCCGCTCAGTTCATCAGGATCTACTTCCTTTGTTCACCTGTAGTGTGGAATCCATGCCTCACCTGTAGCAATTCTCGCAGCATCTTACAAATGACCACTTGGTGTTCTCTCCCCATCATTACTCTTTAATATCAGTGTCTTTCTAGGATCATAGATCTTTTTGAGGATGTGAAGACTGAAACTCCTTCAGAAAATGACTCACACACATTTTACATGTAATACCTCTAGTCTGCAATTAATTGCAGGGGTTCAGGGATCCCTGTGAAGCAATGAACCTCAGCATAATACCTCCAGCATTACAATATGAGTGCTCTGAAGGAAGGATTCACCCATTCAATCTAGTTCATATATTTATCCTTGCATGCAACATACTGCCTAACACACAGTTGATATTTAATAAATGTGGAAGGAAGGAAGGAAGGAAGGAAGGAAGGAAGGAAGGAAGGAAGGAA